GCTGGTCTCGAACTCCTAGCCTCAAGCAATCCTCCTGCCTCGGCCTCCCAAAGTGCTGGGATTACAAGTGTGAGCCAGCATGCCCGGCCAGAAACTATTGAATTTTAAATTTTTGTGTATTTTGACAAACTCCAGACATTGAATATAATATTGTGTCCAAAGAAATTGTCAAATGTATTTTAAAGTAATGTGCCCTTTTCTAAGACCGGTGCAAGTTAATTGTTTGATGAATACTTTTTTTGTGCTTCAGTATTTTTACTTGCTTTTTAGACATTGTGTTAAGCCTGTAACATTCTAGAGGAATTTTTAGACTTAAGTTTGTGTTTTTAATTGTAAGATTGTGGTAGACATTGCTAGCCCTTCTTAAGGGAGATAGAATTCTTGACACTATTTTAATTTAAACAAAGTGAAGTTGAAAATGTTTTTTTTCTTTAAGATTCTTTGAAATTCTTAAAGGAAATTAAGAATCAAGGCCATATCAAGAAGGACTTTAGGCCGGGCACAGTGACTCACACCTGTAATCCTAGCACTCTGCGGGGCTGAGGCAGAGGATTGCTTGAGGTCAGGAGTTCGAGACCAGCCTGAGCAAGAGCAAGACCCCATCTCTCCTAAAAATAGAAAAAGTAGCCTAGTGTCGTGGTGCTCTACTGTAAGTCCTAGCTACTCCAGAGGCTGAGGCAAGAGGATTGCTTGAGCCCAGGAGTTTGAGGTTTCAGTGAGCTACGATGACGCTACTGTGCTCCACCCGTGGTGACAGAGCGAGACTCTGTCTCAAAAAAAAAGGGGGACTTTAAAAATTATTTTGTAGATTATAAATATGATACATGTGAAATAGCTAAAACAATGTGAATTGTATTAAGTAGATAATAAAGCCTTCCGATTGTCAATGTTTACATATACTTTTCCTCTTGTGGTGATACAAATCTGTGTATATATTTGAACATACATAAGTTTTTAAAAATGAAATAGAATCATGCTATATAAAATGTATTAAAACTTTTTTTTTTTTTACTTATTGTGGGCATACTTCCATGACAGTTTATGTTGATCTTTCTCCTTTTATTAAAGCATGAGAATATTTTATTGCTTGGATACACCATAATTAATATTACCAGTTCCTTCTTGAGGAATATTTAGCTTATACCTGATTTTTCTTTTTCTTTTTCTTTTTTTGAGACAGAGTCTCGCTGTGTTGCCCGGGCTAGAGTGCCGTGGCATCATCCTAGCTCACAGCAGCCTCAAACTCCTGAGCTCAAGCAATCCTTCTCTCTCAGCCTCCTGAGTAGCTGGGACTACAGGCAGGCGCCACCATGCCCGGCTAATTTTTTCTATGTTTTTAGTTGTCCAGCTGATTTCTTTCTATTTTTAGTAGAGACGGGGTCTTGCTCTTGCTCAGGCTGGTCTCGAACTCCTAAGCTCAAATGATCTACCCGCCTCGACCTCCCGGAGTGCTAGGATTACAGGCATGAGCCACCGTGCCCGGCCTACCTGATTTTTCAGTAGCACAAATTATGCAATTGTTTATATCCTTATGTATCTGTAACTATTCTTACTCATGCAACTATCTCTATAGGACAGATTTTTAGAAAGTGGTATCACTGTTTAAAAGGGTATTTGTATTTAAAACTTAGATTATTTTTGTCAAATTAGTCATTTGTATGTATTTCGATCAACAGTTTCTGAGAGGGCCTCATACCTCAACAACTTTTTTGGTCAATTTTATAGATGAAAAATAGTATCTTACCGTTTTAGTTCGCCTTCATTTTATATTATTAGTAAATTGTGTGGTAGCTCTTTATAAATGATGATATAAATTTGTTGGATGTTGTGTATATGATTTTTTAATTTTTGTTTTATTATAAGTGTGAACTTATTTTAATTTAAAATGTTGTCCCAGAAGATTGTTCTGAGTGGGTATTTGACCAAAGAAACTGTTGGATTGTTTGTTATAGAATTATAGAATATCCGCTTCATTACTACTGAAAATAACATATATAGACAGATATCCTATACTAGAAATCATATGATATGACTGTACTTTGAAAGAAATCTCATTGGTTTCATACAGTAAGCATTGTATTAAGTTACATTTGGAGTTAGGTAGAGGACAGATTAATATTATATGCATTGTAAAGATAGACTAAAACATGGGTGGTTATGCCATGGACTTTTGACATAGTGACAGAATTGAAATTATCAGTCTTATCTTCTGTCAGCCTTGTCTGTGGATACTGTGCCATTTTTTTTCCCTAGATAATAGTGTTTAGAAATGTAATTACAATTTGCACTTTTATACTTTTTCTTGCCCTGCACTACCTGATTGATTGATGCACACTGAAGGAATTGGCAAATTGTCAACTGCTGATGGTAAAGCTTTTGCAGATCCTGAGGTACTCCGGAGACTGACATCCTCAGTTAGTTGTGCACTGGATGAAGCTGCTGCTGCACTGACACGGATGAAAGCAGAAAATGGCCACAATGTAGGACAAGTGGACACGTATGTATTTCATGACTTTGGCTGGGTATTAGACATTTTCTTGAGTAGATTTTGGGGAAGTAGCCAATTTTTGTGAAATATATCTTTTGGAGGAGCTTATAAACTTTAGCCAAATGAATATTAGAATGTATATTTTAAGTGGAAATATAAATGTATATGTATTATGTAGGTATAAAAATGGATATTTTTATTCTTGCATTCAACTCTTATTCATTGAGCATTCTTGTGAAATATACTATACTAGAGTCTATGAGAAATCCAAACTGAATAAGACCTGTTTGCCACTTTGAAGGAAGATAATTCTAAAGGTTATAGTAGTAAACTCTAAACTGACTGCTTGAGTAGTAATAAATGAAATGAGTTTATCAATACAATAAGCTAAATACTGACTACTCAGGTATGGTCCATGAGCTAGCAGTATCAGCATCACCTCAGAGCTTCTTAGAAATGTAGAATCTCAGGCCCTACCTCAGATCTAATGAATTAGAGTCTGCACTTTTAACAAGAAATGTGAGTGATTTGTATGCCCATTGAAGTTTGAGAGCCATTGATCTAGTTAGTCATTCTGCAGTAAAATTGTTTTCTTCGATTTTCACCTTCACTGTTACCAAATACATTTTTAAGCCATAGGATTATACCCCAAAATGTCCTTGGGAACCATTATACTAGTAGAGTTTAAAAATTTGTCTATTTAATGCTTCGTTACAGTATGTTAGAAGATTTTGGAAGATAAAAATGACAGCTATTTTCAAATTCACTTACTGGCTTTCTGGCTTGGTTGATATACATGAATAATTAGAGTTCCAAACAAGATGCTCAACATTTAAGATGTTCATACAGTTTTTTTTCCTCTTACTATATTAACATTTTTCTGTGTATGACTAACTCTTTATATTTAATGTAATTTATTATAGGGCCTTGTATCTTTCTGTATCAGGTAATTGTTGAATGGTTTTGTTTTCAGTCGCAGTCTGGCAGAAGCTTGTTCAGATGGGGATGTTAATGCTGTTCGTAAATTGCTAGATGAAGGCAGAAGTGTAAATGAACATACAGAAGAAGGAGAAAGCCTGCTGTGTTTAGCTTGTTCTGCAGGGTATTATGAATTAGCTCAAGTAAGCAGAAATAATCTTCATTGATTAAAATTGTGCAAGGGTTTGATGTTTTATTTATTTTTTATCACTTACAGAAGAAATTATTAGAGGACAGGATCTTCTCCTCCCCTCCTTCCCTTTTTGGCAGTAGGTAAAATAGAAACAAATGAGCAATTTGTTTTGTTGCCTATACATACAACTAGGATTGGTCCGTTTTTCTGCTACTTACTCAAAACTAATCCTAATGAATAAGAAACAAATAGAAATAATAATCATATTTTAAACTCGTCTTTAGAAGTAATACACAATTGTAATGGAAAGTAATTGTTATTTTCATTCTATTCAGATTACTCCAATGCTTTTAATTTTTTTACTTCTATGTTCGAGCAGTGTTGGGAATTAGTCCTATTTTTACCAGTTTCTGTCTTATGAGAATAGTTCTGCTGTCTTGCTAGATAACCTCAAGCATAATACACATTACTTGACAAGAGCAGTCACATTTTATAATTGAATGGCTAATGTGAGTACCTACTTTATTTAAAGATTAATAGGGCCAGGTGCAGTGGCTGACACTTGTAATCCTAGCACTCTGGGAGGCCGAGGTGGGCGGATTGTTTGAGCTCAGGAGTTCGAGACCAGCCTGAGCAAGAGCGAGACCCTGTCTCTACTGAAAAATAGAAATAAATTACTTGGACAGCTAAAAATATATAGAAAAAATTAGCCGGGCGTGGTGGTGCATGCCTGTAGTCCCAGCTACTTGGGAGGCTGAGGCAGGAGGATCGCTTGAGCCCAGGAGTTTGAGGTTGCTGTGAGCTAGGCTGACGCTCCGGCTCTCTAGCCTGGGCAACAGAGTGAGACTCTGTTTCAAAAAAAAAAAAAAAAGATTAATAGGTAATGAGGCCAGGTGTGGTGGTTCATGCCTGAAATCCCAGCACTTTGGGGAGGCCAAGGCGGGAGGATCACTTGAGGCTAGGAGTTCGAGACCAGCCTGGGCAACATAGTAAGACCCTATCTCTACAAAAATAAAAAAAATTGGCCGGGCATGATGGCACACGCCTATAGTCTTGGGAGGCTCAGGCAGGAGAATCACTGAGGCAGGAGTTTGAGGCTGCAGTGAGCTATGATCCTACCACTGTACTCTAGCCTGGGTGACAGAGCAAGACCCTGTCTTTAAAAAAAAAAAAAATAATGGTATTGTAAAATGTTACATATAACCTGGCATTTTGAGTAGTGAAGATTTGTATATTTTCCTAAAAGGTGTTTACTATTGATTTTTCCTCACCCTTCCCTATTCTAAAAGAATATCTTCATAGATTCAGTATATTCTCTAGAAATACTATTAGTAGTATGAACTAACAATTTCTCTGTGTGTATATGTGTTTTAAAGGTATTGCTTGCTATGCATGCTAATGTTGAAGATCGAGGGAATAAAGGAGACATAACTCCCTTGATGGCAGCTTCCAGTGGAGGTTACTTAGATATTGTGAAATTATTACTTCTTCATGATGCAGATGTCAACTCCCAGTCTGCAACAGGTATGTAGAGAGTGATACATTAATTGGGGGAAAATTGACACAGTTCATTGTAACCTGAAAGAGAAAAAAAATTGATTCCTGGGGAAAACCAGTATAAACTTACAGAAAAATCTTAACTCTTGTGTAGGATCTCTGAGTAAAATACAAATTAATTTGATATCTTCAGAAGTCTTTAAAACAAACTCAGATTATGTTTGGTCAAGATTGACAGTTTTTATGGTATGTGTATATATTTATATATGTACACACACCCACGCACACACACACACAATGGGATATTATTCAGACTTAAAAAAGAGGACATCCTGTCCTTTGCTACAAGATGGATGGACCTGGAGGACATTATGCTAAGTGAAATCAGCCAGACACAGAAAAATATTTCATGATCTCACTTATATGTGGAATCTTCAGGGGGAAAAAAGGTCAAATAGAGATAGAGAATAAAATATTGGTTACCAGGGTTGGGGAAGGAAATGGGGACATGTAGGATACAAAGTAGCAAATATGTAGGATGAACAAGCTGAAAAATCTAATGTATAGAATGAGGACTATAGTTAATAATAGTTTATTATATTCAGGATTTTTGCTAAATGAGTAAATTACAACTGGTCTTGCCACAGAGTTAACCCACAAAATTGGGTTAACTGTGTGAGATAATGAGTGTGTTAATTTATTCCACTATGGTAACCATTTTACTATATTTATAACATGATGTTGTATACCTTAAATACGCACAACAAAATTTTATTTTTTAAAAAAAGATTTCCCTAAGAGCAGATTTTTGGTGCTCTTACCACAAACAAAGGTGATGGATATGTTAATTTTCTTGGCTATGGTAACCATTTTACTATATAAGGATATC